GCTACCGGCAGAGCGCCGGCGCCCAGCCGACGCCAGACGACGCCAGGGCGTACATCCGACCCCTTGGCAAGCAGCAAGCGCCGCACACAGCGCGCAAAGGCTACCGGCAGAGCGCCGGCGCCCAGCCGACGCCAGACGACGCCCATCCGACCCCTTGGCAAGCAGCAAGCGCCGCACACAGCAAGCAAATGCTACCGGCAAAGCGCCGGTGCCCAGCCGGCGCCAGACGACGCCAAGGCGTACATCCGACCCCTTGGCAAGCAGCAAGCGCCGCACACAGCACGCAAATGGTACCGGTCGAAGATGTTGTGTGCGAGATGTTGTGTTGTTGGAGATGTTGTGTGAGTGATGTTGTGTGCGAGATGTTGTGTGTGGGATGTTGTGTGAGTGATGTTGCGTGTGAGATGTTGTTGTGAGAGATGTTGTGTGAGTGATGTTGTGTGCGAGATGTTGTGTTTGGGATGTTGTGTGAGTGATGTTGTGTGTGAGATGTTGTTGTGAGAGATGTTGTTGTGAGAGATGTTGTGTGAGAGATGTTGTGTGAGTGATGTTGTGTGAGTGATGTTGTGTGAGAGATGATTTGTGTGAGAGAGGAGGAGGAAGGAGGAAGGCGGAGGAGCGAGGAGGTGCAGCAAAAAGACAAGAGCCCCACATGGCAATGTGGGAAAAATGAGTGTTTTGAGGGGTGTTGTGACGCCGGTGATGCAATTGACGGCTAGTAGTGCATCATTAGCGTCACGAGGGGCTCAGAAGGCAATGTAAACCGTTTTCTAGCAGGGGTGGGAGTTCATGTCAATGATAGGGTGTGATCTGTGAGGAACCAGAATGCTGTGGGGAAGGTGGAAGACAGGAGGACGTGGTAGGAAAAGAGGGTTTGCAAGAAATGTTAGAGTTGCCTGGGGCGCCTTCTTTTGATGGTGAAGACGCCGGTCAACTATACGCAAAAGGGCGCCCCATATTGGATGCGAGTTCATGTAATGCTGTGGTCCGTTGAGGGCAGGAAAGATTTGAATTGCTTTGGGGTGCCCTTTTTAAACGGTGAAGAGGCCTAGTTGCCGGACTCAAAAGGGCGCCCCATATGGGGTGGGAGTTCATGTGGACGAGACAGGCATAGTGGAGGAGGACGCGATAGGAAAGAGGGATTGCGAGAAACGATGTGGCCATTCATTGAGAACAGGGAGGGAACAGAATGCAGAGGGGCTCAGGAGGCAATGTAAACAGTCTTCTAGGGGTTCATGTCGATGATAGGAAAGGGGGGGCAACGGGACGCGAACATTTTTGCAGGAAAGGAAGATGTGCGTCTCGGCCAGAGGTGAAGAGGAGGTGTGCGTCTCTCAAAACACTGTTGTCTGATCTGTGAGGGCAGGAGAGTGGGGAAGGGATTGCAAGAAATGATGTAATCCGTCGGAACAGAATGCGGTGGGCCAGCTTTGAGTTGCTTGGGGGTGCAACGGCGAAGCGGCGTAGTAGCCAGATTGCAAGAAATCTTTGACTTGCTTGGGGGTGCCTTTTTCCTTTGGTGAAGCGAGATGTGCGTCTCCACAGGCTATTTAAGCAGTCGGCTTCACCCCATTACACTGATACTCTGTGCTGGATGTTAGACGCTCACTTGATCTTGGCTGTAACGTCGGACCTCTTCGGGGTGCCTTTTCGCAGCTTCAAAACACCGTTAAGTCAGGAAAAAGGGAGGGCGCCCCTCCAAACCTATATCTTCTATGGTGCCAAGAAAGGTGGGGGCGGGCGACAATTTTATTGCTATAAAATGTGGAGTCCAGACCGACCATGGGAATTTCATGGAGGATGTTTGGGTCTCTTGCCGGGATAATTTGATTTTGCGCGTTTTGTTTTTTTAGTTTCTTTGTTTTCTTCTTCCTGGGCGCGTAGCGAAGGGTTCTCGTTTAACTGTGGGGGTCTGGGGGTAGACTCTTGTTCGCGACTTGTTGTCGTAGCGTTTGCAACCGTCTGCAACCCTCCGCAACCGTTTGCGGTAGGTCGCTCTGGCGCTGACATGTGGCGAAGCTCTTGGGGAGGGTTTTAGCATGACGTGTCAGATTCGTGTGAATTAGCGAGGAAACGTGTGAATACGTGACATGTTGAAGTGTGGAGGATGATTTCGCTGCCCAGGCGCATTGTTTTATGAGACCCTGAGTTTCCTTCGCAGTCAGGTTGGGATTGGCGTTTAGAGGGTGGTGTTTTTTTGGGGTGAGTGTTGGATGTGGCTGTGACATTGGGACTTGCGTTTCAGGCTGTTGCTTGGAAGCGGTGTTTTTGAAACGAAATGGTGGTTTTGGTGGATGTGGGTGTGCTCAGAATGTGCCGTTGAAATCATTCCAAATCGTGTGGTGTGGTGCAATTTTGGCTGCAGATATGAAGCTGTCACGTCGTCACTTTTCATGGCAGGCGCAGTGCTTTGTGCGTGCTGGAGGTGTCGAAGTGAATTTTCGTGACAGTTGGTGGAGGTGAATGTCGCTGTGACATTGGGATCGGCTGTGGTTTGGAGGGCTGGGGTTGCGGAACCGTTGGCAGGGCTGCAGAATGTGTTGTCTCTGAGAATTCCCACCTCCCCTTTGAAGGAAATTTCGCGTGAAGCGCCCGTTTTGGAGACTTTGACGTGTGACTTGGAGGAGGTCTCGTACCAAGCGCTCGCTTTGCAGACTTGATGCATGAGTGTTGGAGGAAATCTTGTACGAAATGCTCGTTTTGTGACGTGTGACTTTTGGAGGAAGTCTCGCGCGAAACGCTCATGTTGCAAAATGAGACTTGAGCTGTGAGTTTTGGGAGAAGTCTTGTGCGAAGCGCTCGCTTTGGAGACTTGAATTGTGATTTTTGGAGGGCGTCTCGTACGAAACGCTCGTTTTGGAGACTTGGCGCGTGACTTTTAGGGAAGCAAGAGTGTGCAAGAGTGTCCCATGAGAGTGTCCCGCAAGAGTGTCCCAAAGCAGTGTCCTACAAGAGTGTCCCACAAGATGCCCCACAAGAGTGTCACACGAGAGTGTCCGACAAGAAATGTCCCACACACACAAGAGTGTCCCACAACAGTGTCCCGCCGCGCAAAAGTGGTCCAGAGTGTCCTGCAAGAGTGCGCCGCAAGAGTGTCTGACGAGTTTTCCACAAGAGTGTCTCACAAGAGTGTCCGCAAGAGTTTGCCGCAAGAGTGTCCCACAAGAGTGTCCCAAAAAAGTGCCCCACAAGAGTTTGTAGAAGAGTGTCCCACAAGAGTGGCCGACAAGAGTGTTCTATCAGAGTGTCCTACAAAAGTGTCCCAAAAGAGTGTCGGGCAAGAGTTCTACAAGAGTGTCCCACAAGAGTTACGCGCAAGAGTGCCCCACAAGAGTGTCCCACCAGACTGTCGTGCGTGACCTCAGAATTGGCCACTTGGTAACAACAGTGCACATGTAGTACGGGAAGCAGCTTCTGGGAGCTGTGGCAGAACCGGCAACTTTGTAGTGCAAATGTAGTGCGTTGCTCTGATGTGCACTGAATCGTGAGCATTTTAACAGATTCCTTTCAGACTCAATTTCCTGCACCTTCATCTTCTTTGCGGGTACTTGCAGCATTCTCGTTTCCAGCTGCTCTTCTAAATGCCGCAGGCTTAAACTTCCTCAATCCTGCCAAGCTACGCTCTTGGGCCTCTACAAGCTCCTGGCTGTTTTTGTTTAGACTTCAATCAGTGACCAAACATTTTGCTTGCAGCTTTACAAGTCAGCATATGTCAGCATGTTATGATGTCACAAGTCCATTGCCCACTGTCAACTACACTTCCCTTGCAATTTTCATCGAACCCGAACGAAGAACACACTCAATGGATGACAAAGTTGCTGCCTTGAGTGACCTGCCCCACAAACTTGGGTTTAACGCGCGATGCCAGGCTTTCACTCCAACTCCTTGTGGGAAAATCGTCCAAAATTTGTGTCGACCTCCATTTCCCGACGGCCTTCTTGCTGGGCATGGAATGCGCAGGTGACACTGGCCGAGATGGTACTCCTCAAAAGGTCTCCTGCGACAAGTTAGTTGTGAAACCTTTAGCGCCTGTGCCCTTTAGCAAGACCCGAAATACCCCACAAGGTGTGCTTTGGTACAGTTTGGTCGACGTTTGTTCCAAAGATGGTGGTAGCTATTACTTCTAAGTGACTGGATGAATGAATTCAACATTTTTGCGGTTGTCACGGCTGTGTCTGTGTCTTGTCTCCTGCGTGACCTGCTGCTGCTGCCGTCCTGTATTTGGTTGTGCAGTAAGTTGCTTAGTTGGTCTCTTGCGCGTGTGAGCAGCATGATCAACAGATTTTCTTCATTACACATATACATGCACGTGTGTGACAGCGATGTGCGTCAAGAACGCTGCCTTTTTGGATGAAACCTGCTATGAGCTGAAGATGGATCATGTTTTCATGAGTATTTTCCACATCATGCCACAGAGATTTTGAGGTCTGTGATTTAGTTGCGGAGATTCGGGCGGCTCAACGGATAGCCCCAGTGGCTTGGATACGCATTTAATCGATTGGATTGGATGATGTTTGTACTTAAACGCTTTGGCAAGGCTTTGGCGCAAATGTGTGAAGAGTGTGATGTGGAAATGTTCATGGTGATGCCTAGGCACCAACAAGAGATACTGTATGGATATATTTCAGTATTTCCTGAGAGATCCATTGTGCCTGGCAGGCTTGCATGGCTCAGGTTTTTGGACAGGTCCGCATGCCAGTTTCCGATATTTGTCCACGATCAGATAAGCACAGGATAAAAGTTCCATTGAGCAGGCAAGATATGTTCGACATGATTTGTCCAGAAACTATTTGGGGTTCTTTCTCAAGATGCAAGGCCAGAGCAGCTTCAGGGCCTTTTCAAAAGTCTCTTGCCGCACCGGTCGTAGCTCCAGAGAGCAAAACATTGTGAATGCTTGGTACATGCCATAATTTTGCTTTTGCTTTTTCACCAGCTGCAATCGGTCGAGGTTTGACATCAACCCCGAGACTGAGGACCTGTGGGTTGATGTAGCTGTGTAGCTGAGTTCCTTTGCCCTTAGCTCTCCCAACTTTCCTTACTTTCAAAGATAGTATATACATCATTATAACTTATCATATACAGCCTGTTGTTCATATAAAGATGTTGACAAGTTCTGCGTGACAAGAAGCATCATGCTGATTTGCCTCAGAGTTTGGTTCTGAAGCCTTCTGCGCGATGCCAAAGACCCTGGTCCTCAAGACCTGTTTGGATGAAGGTATTCCTGGGCCTGAGCACTTTGAGATTCGTGAATCACCTTGGCCAAACATCGGAGATGGTGTGATTGTGAGGCTTCTTACGGTGAGTGCAGACCCTTACATGCGATATAGAATCAGATCTGATGGTGATTACAAGCCTGGAGAGCCCATGCTGGGCCTGGTTGCAGGGAAGATTCTTGAATCAAATCTTTCAGATTGGAAGGCTGGCGATTTGTTTGGATCAGAGCTGCCATTCACAGAGATTCAGTCTGTTCCTGCTTGGAAGGCAAAGACTTTTCGACGCTTGACCGGACTGATTTCTGAAGATCAGATCAGCTTTGGTGTCGGAGTGCTTGGAATGCCCGGCTCAACTGCCTATGGCGGCCTGGTGGATATTTTGCAGCCAAAAGAAGGTGAAACAATTTGGGTCAGTGGTGCTGCTGGAGCAGTTGGTTCCATGGTTGGAATGATGGCCAAACAAGTTTTCAATTGTATTGTGATTGGGTCAGCAGGCGGCCCAGAAAAGTGCCAGATAGTGAAGGAGCAGTTTGGCTTTGACCACTGCATAGACTACAAGATGTGCAGGTCAACCAAGGACTTGGTAAAATCTTTACGACACGTGGCACCTGCAGGAATAGACATGTATTTCGAGAATGTTGGTGGAATGCACTTTGAGGCTGCAATGCAGTGCCTCCGACCGAAAGGTCGAGTGGCAATTTGTGGAGTCATCTCGGATTACAACAAGAGCAAAATGTCTCCGAACAAGATCTATGTCTCCAACATGATATATACAGAACAAACAGTACAAGGCTTTCACTGCTTGCCTTGGCTCCAAGGTGAAAGGGGTCAATTCCTGGAAGACATGGCTTTGTGGTTGAGTGAGGGCAAGGTGCAAGTACGTGAAACGGTGTTTGATGGCCTCGACTCATTTGGGAGTGCCTTCCGTGCATTGTTTGAAGGAGGCAATATCGGGAAAGTTGTTATCAACCTTTCACCTAAGTCCAAGCTGTAGACCAGGTCAAGCGATTGTGAAAAAGTGCGCTCCTCTGATGTGAATGGTAAACACAATTTGCATTTAAATGTAGGGTCTGTCCTAATGCCCGTAACAGTAAGTAAACAATTATATATTACTCTTTTTGGACAAGGCCTCTACTAACCATCATCATCCACTGTTACAGGTAATAGGACAGACCCAATTTAAAAGTATTGAAATGTATCGGATCCATCCACAGTTGGTCACCTGCCTCAGAAGCCCGTGGATGCTGAACTTGAGGGCTTGATGTGCAAGCGCGGCGCTGAAGCTTTACTTGTGCGGTTTTGGATCACATGACAAAGGTTTTATCGACTTGGACATTGTGCCACGGAGTTTGCCATGGCACAAGAAGCTACTAGGTTGGAGGCCATCGCTACTAGGGTGGAGGCCATTACTACTAGTAGCAAGAAGCTTCTAGTTTGTGGAGGGCTTTGCGTAACCAAACCTCCAAAACCCTCACCGCCCGACAACACTCTCGCCAGTGTGCGCATCTGCGTCATTTCAGCAACCCACCGTTCGGCGCGATCCTGCACAAAGGAGCTGCTGCCGGAGCAGAGTGAAACAACCTTTTCAGTTGCACCTGCGTGGCTTCACATCTTGGTTTTAATTGAAATTTGACTTGCCAATGCTTATTTGCAAAGACAGCAGGGACCTTCCCTGGACGACTGGAAAGCGACCCTGCAATCACGGACTTGCATTTTCTCCTGTGGACCCAAATTGATGCTGCCCAGTTGATGTGCAAAAGCTTCAAAGTGCATGTTGTCCACACTGAAGCATCTCATCTCCTGTAGTTTAGGACACTCAAAGAGAAAAGGATCCCTGTTGTGCCGCCGATGAACCCGTTGCCGTGGCAAGTGCTTGGACAATATCTTGAGGACCACACAGAAACAAATCGAGACAAAGTACTTAGTTCTCGAAGGCCCATTGCCAAGTTTTGCAAACACTTCTTTTGAACAGCTGTGTTGCCGGTTCTGCTGCTATTGTCCAAGGCAACGACAATAGCATGGACTGTGCGTGGAAGTACATTGCTGGCGTGTTGGTGTAGGGAGTGTAGCATTTCAATTTTTCCTTTATTGTTAACTTGTCTTTGTCGCGTGAAGTGGGTCTCCCAGTCCGGCAGTGATGGCTTCCTTCAAACACGAGTATAAACAGTTGAAATCAACGAGTAAAGACACAAGCAAAGAAACACACGCATATATAGTCAATAGATCAACAAATTGGATGGTGACGAAGGTCATGTATGCAGGATGGAGGTTCAGGACCCATCACGAAGATCACAACCAGATGGTACATCCAGTGGTCACATGCACAGGTTTGCAGGTTCGAGTGCCGCTGTTTTACTGGACCTAGGTTGCAAGCATAAAGTGCGTGCTTGCGGCCAGGGGTAGACTTGTCGCTGGTAGCGCCGCCAAAGACCTCCAAGGGTTCTGCCTTGTTGCAGCCATAGCGTGCTTTGGTGCTGCGACCGTGGGCTTTGGAGCGTGAGTGTTGGTTGGGCATTGTTGGTCTTGCAGGGCTGACTTTGACCTGTTTCGCATTGTTGACAGTTGGCTTGCGTTGGGTCATTATCACACCGGAATCCGTTCGCGAGTGGAGGTGGCTTACATTGTGGTCAGAGCTGGTCAGTGGAAGTCACAGTTTACAATTTTGTTGGTGCTCGCAGTTTTGCAGCTTTCCTTTGCGCAAGGTTTAAGACATGAAGGACGCAGGCCACGCGGAATCAATTCCCGTGGGTTGACCCAAAGTCCAATGTCGGGCACTTCGACGGAAACCCGAGACTGGCTGAAGAGTATGAAGAACGGGGTTGGCTTGGGTATGAGACAGTGGCCAAAAATGAGAGAGCGGCGTGGTTAGGCGTTGGCTCCTTGCCACAGGAAGCTTGAGATCACGGCCCAGAAGCTGCTCCAGATCAGTGAGGCCAAGGTCACGCCGCTGGTCGTGAAGACCGTCCTGACAGCCTGCGAGAAGGACGCGCCACTCCTCAAGACCCAGTCCTTTGGAAGAAGATGGACAGAAGATGGACAGAAGATGACCAGTGAGGAACAAGGAAGAGATGATGATGTGTACAGAGATGAGTGCACTTCAAGTGGCGATGAATCCAGAGAAGCTCGTGAGATCCTAAGAAGAGAAGAAAAGAAGAGCTGAAGAGGCAGAGAGTGAATGCAGAGGAGTCTGGAAGAGAAGAGTCCGAAGAAAAAAGGCTGAAGAGACCGAGGCAAGAAAAGAAGGGAAGGAAGAAGAGACTTGAGAGCTCCTTAAGTCAACAGAACCTTGAGGAACGATCTGTTTCCCAAGGTCGCGAAGCATCGCCCAGTGGGTCCCATGGACCATGTCATGAAGAAGATCGCAAGAGGAAGCGTGATGCACTATGGGATGATGTCCCGATGCCCTTCCGGGCAGTACTTCAATCAGAAGAGCGTAGAAAAGCGAAGTCAGGAGACAAAAAAGGCAAATAGCTTCTTTTGGCATCCGAAGGGAAGGAAGTCAGGGTTGCGGCCTTCCTGACGGAAAGGCTGGACACCTACACCATGAAGAACAAGCGCGCGGAGCTGAATCCAAGCAGGATGAAAGAAGCTCTTCCCCAGTTCTCACAGACAGAGATCGATGAGGCTATGCAGGAAGCCGTGGAAAAAAGAGCTTGGCAGGCGGCAGAAATTCGATGCAGTTGGCGTAGTACCTCCCGATGAAAGCCCAGAGAGTAGAAGGAGCAGTCCGGAGAAGGTCATTTCTTCTCGAGGAGTTTCGACGCGAAAGGACAATGAGAAGAAGGAGGAATGGGAGAAAACTCAACAAAGCTCGTCTTGAAGTTTTGCATTGTCGTTGGCCGTGGGTTTCAAGCAGATTTTGATGAACAACTTTGGAGGGGTTCACCCACTTGCTCAACGCTGCTTGTTCAGCTGCTTGGCATCGTCCCGCTTGATGAAGCTGACAGCTGCATGTCAGAGGAACCTTTTTCGGGGTTGAATAGTTTAAGCCCCCAACCCTCGGAAAGGCCAGGTTTTCCCAGGCTCTACTTCGTCTCTGAAAGCGATCTACGGATATGGGGGACGGATGGTGTGCCCAAGGTCTGCGGCAGACCGTGCGCACAGGATGAAGACTTCACTATCCACACCCGTCCCCACAACTCTGTTGAGGGCGCGAGCGCCTACAGGGTCAGCAGAGAGAGGCAGAGATGCCAACGCAAGCAAGATTGAGACAGTTGTAATGGTTCGCCCGCATTATGGACCAGGCAACTGGCTTTGAGGTCAGCAAGCTGGCAAGTGAGGCCAAAGTACCAAGACCAGTCTGAAGGAGGCGGCGAAGACAGCAAGGAGTTGCGTCGCGACGAAGAGCTTGTGTATCGCCTCGGAATGCCATGGAAGCTGGTGGGTTTCAGTTGTAGCAGTTCATGTCGCAGAACAACTTGCCAGGACAAGTCTCAAAAGGGCTATTGGCTGAGAATCCCCACGCCTCCCTCCCCTGAAGCTTTGGGCGCGGGCGTCGTTTGTCTCCGGAAGCAGCCATCGCGCGCCAAAATTTGCAAGAAGCTGTGATTTGCCAATGGGCGCCGTCAGAGCAACAGCTTGCAGACGCATGGACATAAGCGCTCAACCGAAAGGAATCTCATACCTTCAGGATGTGTTGTTGTTTTCCAACAAGTGGACATTGGGCATTGGGGTCGGACCTGAGATTGTTCACTACCATGACAAGCCGGAAGTTGGAACGGCCCACGGAGAAGGAGGAAGGCAAAGTTCATAGCAGCCACGAGGCAAAGGAGATGAACGAAAAGAAGACTGAAATCAAAGGTGAAGACAGCCAGTAGACAAATATCACCGCTTCTTCGGCGACCAGTGGAATGTGAGCGCGAAGTCAGTACTGATGTTTTCTTTTGCGCAGCAGTTCCTCCTGCGAAGGCTGCGCGGTGTGTTGACGACCTTGGGCCACCCATCATGGGAGTTGATGCTTGCGTGCTGGATCATAGTATTGACAGCAACCTTTTGGTGGAACGACGCTTGCTACACACAGGTCTTCAGATGGTTCCAAGTCCTTCTTGGAACTGTACAAACAATGTGCCATTGTAGCCGTTTTGGTCAAGAAATGTTGGCAGTGGAAGAAAGTGAAGATGAAGATGAATGAAGTTGAAGTAGCGAAAGAACCTTTTGAGGAGTCAAAGAAAGATGAAGAAGTTCAGAAAGTGAAGGCCGCATTTTGAAATGGAGTGGGCCCAAATGAGCCAAAGTGGGAGCCCCCAACAAGAGAACGGTGGGAAACACTGACCGAAAAGCAGAAGGATTACTTTTTTCTTCAGGTTTCCTGGAAGGAGCGGCGGTGTATCATGATGAGGACAAGATGACACTGATCGCGAATCGCGTGGCAAGTTCGTGGAGCAAGTAGCACGACCGTGTGCCGGAGCCCAATGATTGGACCTGACCCCCACACAATCTTGAGGAATGTGAAGACGGTCATGTATGCAGGATCAGGACCAATCACAGAGATCACAGCCAGATGGTACATCCAGTGGTCACACGCACACACACACACACACACCGGACTGCAGGTTCGAGTACCGCTGTTTTACTGGGCCTTGAGCCTATCCGAGGTTGCAAGCATAAAGTGCGTGCTTGCGGCCAGGGGTAGACATGTCAATATTTACATATGCGCATCAATGGTGCGCCCCTGTGGTGTCGGTTGTCGTTGCAAACAAGCAATGTTTTGTGATTACTTTTCGGTGGCCTGACATTCTGAGGTTTGACGAAGCAAAGAACCTTTTGGTGGCCACGATGAACAAAAAGCAAAGCAGAAAGCCTCGGATTTGCGTCAGCGCCCACGGCAGAGATGTTGCTGTTGCTTTGCAACGTCCACAGGTGGCCAGCTCGAGAAAGATCTGGAGGATGCAACATGGACACTGCTTGTGAAGCGGGTTGTGAACGGAGCGAACGGGGAGGAGCTCTGTTGTATGGGCGCTGTGAGAGCCCTATAACCCTTATAAACCCCAACGCAACGAGAACAAACCTTTGCCAGGACACATACAAGTGGATCGCTCCGAGCCTGCGAGAGCCTGCTGAGAAAGCTGTCGAGGACAAATTTACTGGATTGTTCCAAGGCCGATTAGTTGAATGAATCTTTGGGCGACAGTGTTTTATGATGTTTGTATTCTATTTTATCTATAAAAAAGGAATCTCATGTCACCGAACTGCGGAGGACTTGATGCGCGACCTGGAAGCATGGAGCATGGAACTGGCCAGGCATTGTCCAGAGGTCGGTGGCAGTATTCAAGCAGTTCCATCTAGAACAACATATCGATGACTGTGCCAAATGCGCATAACAGCGTGAGCGGAAAAGGGGCTGTTTCTCTGTTTTGTGTTTGCATGGAGCTGACAGCAGACTTGCAGGACTGGAATCAATGCTGCGGTATTTTGGTGCAATGCCTCTCTGGCTCGGAAAAGGAAGCGAACAAAGCTCCGTTTCGAGTGCAGAGCTAAGACTGTCAGCGGCACTTCCGCAACACGTTGTTCGCCTTGTTTTTTTTCGTCGCTTCTATTTATTTACCTTTAATTAAAACAATTTCTAACTTATGCTGCCCAAATAACCCTTTTGAAATCTATAGCATTGCCTGCCTGTGAAACCGATAGCACCACCTGTCTGTTTATTTGTCTTGTTTTGTGTTGTGTTGTCCTGTCCTGCCCTGCCCTGCCATGTGTTGTGTTGTGTTGTGTTGCCTTTCCTTCCCTTCCCTTGCCTTGCCTTGCCTTGTCTTGTGTGTGTAAAATTTTGCAACACGCAGCTAGTCACTTTTTCGGAACTCAGCGCAGGGGAGCAATGGACACCTTGGAAAGCATTGCCCAACAACAATTTTTCATTGTGTTTGGACATAGCATGCGGCCAAACTTAGAACTGCAATGGACATGAACATGCCACCTGGTCTGCCGGTGTCACCATACCCCCTGCCCCTGTTGGTAAAGGATGTGGACTCAGGAAATGCAGAGCATCGTCAACGCATCTAAACTCGTCACACTCGCCCATTCCATGCGTGTCTCGGGTGCACGCGTGCACAGCCTGGTTATAAAGAAGGCACACGGGGACCTTCCCAAAAACAGTTACGTCGCTCTGTTTGCGGAACTCTGGATCCCGACAGAACATATACTGAATTTTCCGGTTAGTTGACTCGAGTGAAATCGCCGTTGAACCGTTGGCAGCAGATCAGCCGTTGAAGAGAGGCTTTGAGCTTAGTTGCTTGGGTGTAGTAACAGTGTAGTAGCAACATGCACCATATTTGGAAAACTCTTCTGCTTGGTACTGTACCCTACAGGGAACTACATCGACGCTGTTGGCTCAGAAGCCATTCACAACGACTTGTGGTGGGGCTCGGAGGAACCCCCTGTTTCCAGGCCTGACTTGTTTTTGTAGCGGGAGTCTTAACTTCAAGCGACGCACTCATGGGAGCTTCTGTGGTCTGGATTCTGGACTGGTTGGAGAAGACACATTTTCTTAAACCTATATCACTGCTAGGTCTCTTCACGTTTCACCCGCTCTAAACAATAGGGTTGTTTGGACAACAGTGCTTAAGTGTGTGTACACCCTGGGTTCATTGTGTCTCCAGGCTTTTGAGGTCCATTTGCCTCCATTTCTGTCTATTCTTTTGACGGTTGAGCTAAGTTGGGGGCTCATGAACACATAGATAGCACTGGCCAACCAAGACCCATCTATGTTGTCGAAACATACCTGCGTTGATTGCTGGATCTGTGAGTGACAGCTGGAGGATCTTAAGCTTTTGGCCACTGCTGCAGTCTGCTTGTATTTGGAACAACTCTTTGTTCGTTGCACCGGTTTGCTGTCAACGGCTGATGAGCAGGGTGGACTTTGCTTCGTTATGCACCCTTCTTTTTGAAACTTCTGAACGTGACCTTCTTGAGCTTGGAGACAGTTACACCCCACAACTTCTTTTTTAAATCAATATTTTTTCGCTTCGGCTGCGGCTGCTTGGGGCTGTGGTTGCAGTCATATCGTACATACTTCATCTTGAACGTGCCTCACTTCCAAGAGCTCGGGGTGAGCCCGATTATTGCCTGCCCTTGGACCGGCTCACCAGGACTAAGTTGAAATGCTAAATCTTGAGCAGTCCGTACGACAGGAACAGCCCGCATACCGGAGAATATTGCAGTGAATTCTTTTTGGAGATTTATTGGGACTTCGCATGGACCTTAGTCTTCGCTTTCCTTTCTGTCCTGAATGTTTTGACCTTCCCGGACTCCTCCTCGCCCATGAATTCCGACTCTGGCCGGAGCAAAGTTTTCCGGTTGGGTTTAACTTGGTTTTGTATCGGGCAATCTTGCGACTTGATCTTTTACCAGTGGTTGACTCTCAGGAACTTTGGAAGACATTGCCCAACTGAGTACCTGTGTTAGTTCCGGGCACGTGGCTGCGTGCAATTTGTAGTCCATTGGCTACGCGTGCATACAAGAGCTTCCATTCACCAGGGGTGTGAGGATTGAATGCGGGACAGTCAATTGCTACTGGTAAGAACCCCCCAGTTGGTGTTGAATCATTGAAACTATCTCTTAGAACCGTGCCACCTCCACACATCACCAGCAACAAGTCATCGCCCATCAACACATATCATCACATCAGCACAAACCGCCACAAAGCACCACCGGTGAATCACAAGAAGTCGCCCGATGGCCACAAAGTACCTTGGCATCACAGAATCACCATAAAAAGACCTCCGCAGATCCCCAGTAAGCGCCACAAGTAGGACCACAACGGATACTCGGCTTACCAAGAAGTCTTCGAATCACGTTTTGAACGCATGTTTGAAAAGAAGTTCATTGCGAATACAATTTGGAGTTTCTTACCAACCATAGGTTTGTGATGTGTTGACAATTTTCAGATTTGCATGCTTGGATAGAAGCTACTGTAACCAGAACCACGAAGGTGCATTCTCAGCTTCCTGCCCTCCAGCCTGTGTGTTCCAGTTGTTCCGTCTTGAGTTGCGTGTTTCTCAAATATTTGTTCAGAAATGCTATGTTGTAAATCTATATGAGAGTGCTTGAAGTGTGTTTCAACAGAGTTCCATGTGTGCTGAAGTTGTATTGTGACCTTGCAGGTGTGATTTGCCCGTGCGCAAACGCTCATACTGAGCAGAACACTTCAAGGTGAAATTACGAACAATCGCAGAACCAGTGTCAAAATAGAATCCATCATCCAGTGAATCCAGTGGTGTTGGTTGCATGATATGACGGACTAAGTTTTTCACAATCTCTGAAGGGCTCTCAGCCATCATAAGCTGTGTGCAGCCTTTCCATGTGCCATGAGCGAAGCTCTACCCACATTTTGTTCAAGTCGCTGCACAAGATCGTCTTTTTCCCAAAGGGAAATTGACTCTTGAATGTTTTAGGACTCAACCTGCGCGCATAATGCTTTAATTACATGTCCAGGTATCATTGTATGTCAGAATCTATATCAGCTGTTCAAGGGGTCTCAAGTTTGTGAGATGGCTTCTTGGTGTGCGCTGTTAATCTCCTTGGCCTCTTCCAGCAAGGGTGGGACTTATGCAGCCTGAGGTTGGCGGAAGTTAACCTCATCGCAGAATCAGATTGGGTTGAACCTCATTCCAGCACAGAATGGGACAGCCCGAAGGCAGACGGTAGAATATGGATTGTGGGTGTTCTCCGAAGGCTGACTGCTTGAGGCAGAAAAGCAATCTTCGACTGTCCAAAGAATGCGTGCCATGACTGCAAGGGCACAGCGCGCCAAGCCCGGAAAAGCATTCGACATATCTAGACCTGAGAATTCCATAAAGGTTGCAGTTGACGTGACGGGCACTTGAACGTGTTTTTTTCTTCTGCAGTTTCTGTGAGCTGTTGCTCAAGAGCAAGCGTGCAATAGCAACCATAGCCCGTGAATGAATGCTATCAAGATTAGGAAGACTGACACGACTGCTGCAGCATTTTCTTTTGATAGCTCCTTACTTATAACTCCTCTACCTTCCTGCTTTTGGATTCGGATAGGGAGTTCCACAGCAGCCGCCCGCCATGGTCCCCAGCTTTGCGAATTCATTCTGGAACTCACTCTGCCTGATAACTGCTTCAGCACTTGCACACTCAGCCATTTGCGTTTGCGATCAAGGGCGAAAGCAAATCATTGAGCTGGAACATGTGAGAACAGGAAGCATGGTAGTTGAAGACTTGCTCAGACAACTGCCTGAGTCGGTCAGTAAAACTATTCACCAGACAACAACACCGCACGGGACCATTTTCCAAAGCCTGATGCTTGTAGCAGCCTTGCTGATGCTTGCTAGTGAATTTCCAAAGTTCGATTTTGTTCAGCCAAACTATGACGTGGTGTTGATTGGATTTGAGTTTTGCCGGTATATTTTTCCAGCTGTTGGCATAGTAATGCTGGTCTTTATTCCGATGTCGCATGATTATATCCTCATGATCGACCGCTTCAAAAGACCGGGCTACCAGCTGACACAAGAAGATCGTGCTGTCTTTTATGCCAACAAACTTCAGGAGGATATGCATCAGTTCGCAGGTATGTTGGTTTTTGCAGCTACTCCGGCACTGGAAGGCAGGCAAAGTCCAAAACACCCTTGCTTGGCCTGTTGTAGTTTGGAAGCGGCACCCCGTACACAGCTTACCAATATTTATGATTGTACCGACATCATCGATGTTAGTTCTGTGAGACAACTTCGGTGTACTCAGTGTGAAAGAAGATGGAAGCAGGACTATCCAGACATGTCACTGAGTGCACCTGACCTAATCTCTGGCAGGGCCAGTGTGCCGAAAGCTTCAAGAGCCTTATCTATAGGAACTGTTTCTGATGTGATATATAATGGACGTGTCATGGTTTGTGATGCGGTGAAAAATATCATGGTGTTAAGTATGATGCGGTGACGCGTGATGATTTCTGATGTGGACAAGCAGCGTAATGTGGCAATTGTCCTGTGGTAAGGAGCGGTGTGGTAGTATGGCAAAATGTATATACTTGTAGTGTGGTGGTGTGACTTTTGTTGTGATTTACGATACTGTGGCTTGTAAACTGGAGATTTGTCATGTGGTGATGGGTGTGTAATGACTTGTGATCAGGAAGTGTTGCGTAGTCGTGATATTGTTGCTGACATTTTTGACATTTCAGCATGCCGATCACTCGTGACCGTAGCGCTGCCATACCGTCAGAGCAGGATCTTTGACTCAGCCATTCAGCAACATCCCTAGAAGCTGACCTGAAGCTCCTCCACTGATTTCCTGCGAGCAAGTGGGTTCGATCAGTGCCGCATGTTAGAGCCAAAAGATGAAAGGCAAAAACACTTGGCCCCAAGTCACTTGGCGGCGAAGTGTGGTGAAGGACCGGCCCACAGCCGACACGTCAGCCTTCATTTCGATCCGATGCATGTGCATAGAGTGAGCGGTGGGGTCCGTCACTAGGTCCACTAGGTAGGAGAAGTGGCCTGGGTCAAGCATTAGCTGACTTCCTCAGCGAATGGCAAATGGTCAGTGGCATCCTGGAGGTCTTCACTCTTCCTGCCATGTAGATGCCATAGGTGCTGTTAACATCACCTTGAAGTTCAATGCCCTTGGAGGTGACCCCTTTCTCAGCCAGGCACCAAAGTTCAACATTCCAGGCTACCAGGCAAGCGTGTTTGCGCTTGAAGGATTGGTGGCAAAGTTCACAAGGTGAGGACTTATGTTCGCTCTGGAATTCCAAACTGGCTGCAAGTGTGCCGTGTGCCTTCAGTCAGCTGGAAATAATTGGCGCGGCAGTGTGAGATGGCCTCTTGCATCCTGGGACGGTACTTGCCGCAGTGTGGCGAGGCCAAATCACGAAAGGTAGCTTGAGCTACCTGAGTTCTCCTTGCTTTAGCAAAAATGTATTACAATCAGGAGTTGGGATTGTGCATTGAATTTGGTCCTGTAAGAGTTGATTCTGTTCGTGGGGGGGGGGGGGGGGCCCCCCCCCCCCCCGGATCAAATCCCCCCTGCGCCGGTTCACGCGGTCGTGGACTTCTACCAGGGTTACTTGTGATTGCCTGCTACCTTTCGTTCACCCCCTCCTCTCTCAAGTGTATCCAAAGGTAATGTGAAGTGGTGTGGTGTAGCGTGTTGATTTGATACGGCGAAATGTAACGATGTACTCAGGCGATTGGTGTGGTGGAGTGGGGCGCGATGATTTTTTCAGATCCTATTTTTTCTTTTGCAGCATCTCAACTGTTTCTTACTTCTCTCTACTTGTCTCTAGAGACCTTTGATACTTTATCTACACAACTTTTCCGCACACACATGTCTTTACACATCTCCACTTTTCTGTACTTTTGTCCAGAAGATATTTTTCTGCACTTGTCCTACTCTTCCATTTTTGCTTTCTTGCACTTTCAACCTGTACCTAATACAGCCACAGTGCGATTCGCTCAGTTCCGTTCCCAACCCAAACACATACAACCACATCACTGGCTGCCACCGACCCAGACATGTCCGCACCTTGCTAGGAAACTGCCGGATAACTGCGCCCGCACTTAACCACTACCCTCTGGCCTCCCGCGTGCTCTCATCATTTATGGCACAGGAAGTGTTGTACATCTTGGAACTTTATCACTGAAACTTCCATTGATAGTGTCCAGTTGCTTGAATCATTTCAATTTGTGATTGCTCTTGACAATTTGGCCAGAATTTTTGTGGTGCAAATGGAGAAATTCTTGCAAACCAATGTGAAGGCTATGCTGTTGGTCGAGCTTTTGTTCAGTTCTTCGGGAATGGAATGGGAGACGAACTTGTCAAATGGAGGGACCAAGATGCAGCATCATCTATGTGGCTTATCCTTCTTGTTGCTCGTACAGTGATGTTGCTTGGAGTACATGTTTGCCTGTGGAACATGGTGTACGAGTGGTACTGCGAGCCAACCGCACGATTCTCCCGCAACCCGTACTACATCTATGATGCCGAGAAAGCCCTTATCAGACATTTGCTCAACTACGTCTTGCTGGTGGGCATGTCGATATGGTTCTTCAACTCCGGCCATTTCAAGCTCTTGTCATTCTTTGCCCAGCGAGGGCTTCTAGCAATTGCTTTCTGTTCAGCGGTGCTCACAGTGTGCTACACCTTCCGTGTGCTTGAGTACTTGATGTTCAAAGAGAGGCCGACAACCTGTTGCACAGTTTTCAAGTTTGAAAACCTGTTGAGGTCCTGAAGTCCTGTCTTTGAATGCAGCCTTTTGTGGGTCGCCCAGTGCTTGTCCTGCTTGGTAAAATTGTTTTCGGGCTGTGTCCGCTGGGCATAGGTCCGGCATCGAGCTGTTCAGGGCTGTGGATGAGAGTTACTGTAAGCTATTGCCATGACAAGGTAACGATTTTATTCTTGCTTGCTTGATATTGCATTGAGTGTTGCCGCAACGTAGTGTAGCCACGAAGATATGTCTCCCACTCTTCGAAGCATTGGCTGAAGGCAACTGTGTGACCCCCCCCGTCACCCCAATGTGGGTGGCGGGGGGTGTAGACCGTGAAGCCAGGTACAAGGGACAACGATGGCCACTCGCAGGGCACCATCATCATAGACATCTTGGAGGCCGTGTCAACCAATGACCAGGGACATTGGGTCACCGCCAAGGTTGTTGGCGCGAGTGATGCGTATATGAGATGGTGGATGTCTGAGGGCGAGGGCAAGCGGCTGACATCGAAGTGCACCTACCACTTTTTTGCGGACTCCTCCCATGACTGTGAGGTCACAAGGCGAGGAGCCTCGATACATGTGGAGAAATTCAGGGTCTTGACGCTGGGCCTTCAAGAAAGACATGAGCAAGTCCTTCATGGAGTTCTTGGAGAAGAAGGACATGCTGCTGGGGACAAGGGCCGATAGAGCGGCTGAACCCAGGGTTGACCCAGGTGAAGGAGAGTCGGCCGAAGAAGAAGAGGAGTCCACTGGGGAAAGCTCAGACAAGGAAGGACTTAAAGCCAAATTGACCAAAGCCCGTGATGAGGTCAAGCGGCTGGAGAAAGAGCTCACCGTGAAGAAAGGCCCAAGCAAAGAGGCAAAATCCAAGGGCAAGCGTGAAGGAGTCAAGAAGAAGAAGAAGAAGCCTTCCCCTGAGGCCAAGCGGAAAAAGAAGAAGAAGAAGAAGAAGAAGGAGAAAGGGAAGGCATCACCCTCCTGAGGTGGAAGAGTGAAGGGCAAAGAGGATGGTGGTGACCGGGGCCGTGCAAAGGGGTCCCATGAAGCAAAGAAGGAGAAGAGAAAGAGAATGTCAGAGACCTTTTCTTGTAGTGAAGAAGATGAGGAGGGCTTATTTGGTGAGGAGGCTGTGGAAGTCCCCGTCGGGTTTTTGCGAAGCCCCCACAGTCCCAAAAAGCAGCAAACCAGCTAAGCCATAGAGAAGAGCTGCCACGACGGCCACTGGCAAGCTGCCCAATTCCTAGAGCTTCTCGGTCC